CGTCAGCCCAAAAAGCAATCAGGGTTCTCTGCCCTGTGGGAAGTCCAAGGACCACCCACCTCCATCCAGGTCTAGTAAGGTGAGCATCCACGAAACTGCCTAGGCTCCCACGAAACCAATAGGTCCAGTAGAATCAAAAACCCATTGCCATTGTTCTTGAGGTCTCAGCTGTTCCTTGAACATATGTTTGTATGTGCCTATGTGTTTACATATTGTTTCATGTTTACATTGCTGAGCAATGGAACAGATGTGTTCAACTTTACGGAATACTATCAGGCACACAGTAAAGGGAACATTTTAATTTACTCTCATTGGATCCAGTTACTCTTGTCAGTGCTGAATTTTGTTATCATAGCCATGCTGATAGGCATCTGGTGATGTGAGATTGAGAAGAGGTGGGGATTGAACTGTGGTGTTCTTTGCAATTTCCAGATGGATAATGGTGCTGAGAACCTAAACCTCATCAGTGCCTACAACAGCCTTGTGAAATGCCTGTTAAGTATTGTTTACTATTCCATTGGAGTATCTGTTTTTATGATATATATTTCCAATTCTTTGCATACATATTTTGAGTACTTCTTTTTTACTTTTTCTAGAGTACCATTAATTTTTCCCTCTATGGAAACTGCTTTTCTTTTGAAAGAATCTTACATTTGCTCTCCTAAAATGATAGATACATTCTATCAGGTTTGATTAAAAAAATCATTGCTTTAGATTTAACACTCAAACTTACATTACACCTGGGTTTGGTTGTTTGTCTGCAGAGGAATCTAGGAATAAAAAAATATGACTTTCCTTCTTCTAGATCCACACAATCCATCAGCATTCCCTGGGAAGACTACAGTGTCTCCAGTGCACTGCACACATGACCTTCTGTCATTACTCATTGGACTACATGTGTGTGGGTCTGTGTCTGATGTTTGTTCTGTCTTCATCTACTTGCTTTCTCTCTAATTAACATATGTCTGTGGTGTGTGTGTGTGTGTGTGTGTGTGTGTCTGTCTGGTCAGACACTGACAGGAAATCCTTCTTAAGTTGCTCTCACCTTATTCATTGAGGCAGGGTCTCTCAGTTGAACACAGTGCCCGTCATTTCATCTAGTGTATCTAGTCGCCTTATTCTGGGGAATCTTCAGTCTCTGCCTTTCCTGACCTGAAATGAGAATGTGCGACTGCATATGACTTCTCATGTGTTATGTGGTGATTTCAGGAGTTATTTGATATGCTTTAGATAGTCATCATAATCCTGAGACATGAGTATCATCAGTCTAGTTTCATAGATAAGGAGCCTGAGGCATTGGGAGGTTCAGTAACTTGAACTGTGCACTCAGAACCCACATTCCAGCCTTCTTTTCTTAATTAAAAATTATTATTTTTATTTTATGTGTATGACTTTATGCCTACATAATGTTTGTGTACCATGTGTGTGTCTTCATGTGGAGATAAGCCAATGGAGCCAGATCCCCTGGAACTATAGTCACACAGCTCTGAGCAGTCTGGGTCCCTGGAGCAGCAGTCAGTGCTCTCAATCTTTTAGTCATCTCTCCAGCCTGGATCTCCCCTTTCTGCCTCTATAGTTGGTCTGTGTCAAGTGACACAGAGATGAATGTGATTCTCTTACAGGCCTCACCATGTGGATGATTTCAGGGCAGAACCAAAGCTGGGTTTCTGAGTTTATCCTACTTGGCTTCTCCAGTGACCCCACGACCAACAGCATCCTCTTCACTGTGTTCCTTCTCATCTACCTGAGCTCAGTCCTGGGCAATGGGCTCATCGTCCTGCTGATCTGCCTGGACTCACATCTGCACACTCCCATGTACTTCTTCCTCTGTATACTCGCCATGTTGGATATGGGTTATGTCACCACCACTATGCCCCAGATGTTGGTGCATCTTCTAGCTAAATCTCACACTATCTCCTTTGCTGGCTGCTGGATACAGATGTATGTGTTTGGTGCCCTGGCTACTACTGAGAGCACCTTCTTTGTTGTCATGGCTTATGACAGGTATGTGGCCATTTGCCACCCACTTCACTATACTGTCATCCTCAACTGGGGACTGTGCATATGGTTGGCAGCAGGGACTTGGATCTGTGGTTTCTTCTTCTCTCTGTTACATACATTCTTTATCATGAGTCTGCCATATTGTGGACCTAACAAGGTTAGTCACTATTTCTGCGACAGCCCTTCAGTGCGTAGCCTGGCTTGCATGGATACCCACCTCATTGGGATGGTAGACCTGGTCTTGAGTGTTTTTGTGATTGTTACTCCCTTTTCCCTCATTGTAACCTCCTATATTCGTATCGCCATGGCAGTTCTCAAGATCAAGTCCACCCAAGCCCACAACAAGGCTTTCTCTACCTGTGCCTCCCACCTGACTGTGGTCACTTTCTTCTATGGTCCATCCACTTACATCTACATGAAGTCCAATTCCAGCTACTTCCCTGAACGAGACAAGCAGATCTCACTGTTTTACAATGCCTTCACTGCCTTGCTCAACCCTCTAGTCTACAGTCTGAGAAACAAAGACATCAAGAGGGCATTTCTCAAGGCAATAGGAAATATTAAAGTGTACTGTTGAACCACAATCAAGTACAAGCTGAGATAGTGAATTCAATGCTTAAGGGACTGTGTCTTTAGTATATGTAACTGATCTGTATGTTTAAAGCCATGTAGTAATTGATAATTGGGACACACCATTGTGAAACTATGGGCGTTCTTTTGATTTACAGGATACACTAAGGTATAATTCAAAGCACCTCAATAATCTCACTGGTTTATACCTGTAAACATTTATTCTTTTTAAGCCTATATTTTATTCATTCTTTGAGAATTGCACATTATGTTCCACAATCCCACTCATTTCCCAGTCCTTCCATATTTGCCCTCCACCCTTGTAATTTTCCTTCAAAAGAAAATAAAAAATTAAAAAAGAAAACCAAAATCTCACGAACCCCTTTTGTAATGATCTGTTTATCACTCGCATCCTTCTCTTACAACAGTCACAGCCATTGCATCTCCAGTTCTGCAGGACTGTACCACTCAGCTCCTCTGTCTTTCCTGCATCTCCATCACATGTTCGTTTATCACAGTGGCATTGAAAGATCTGGTGTGTCACGCAGTTACCCTTTTCTCATAAAGCTTTAGTTGCAAATATTCATTACAATGAGTCATGGCTCTCATCCAAAGCCTCTGGCTTCTGCTATAGCATCAATCCTGGACCCTCATCTAGACTCCACTCCAATCTCTTCTCACCCAGAGTCATGGAGATCCTCCGTCTATGGTTCTACAAGACAGGCCCCTTCAGGCTCAAAATGAAGGCCCTGATCTGGGCCTGTGTGGTAGCTGAGTTGGTCAACATGGGTCTCCACCAGGCCTCTCCCCAATAAGGGTCAGGGCCAGCTCTTCCCTACTCCAGGAGAGGTGGGGCAAGCCCCACCCATGCCACTGCCCAGAATACCTTGTAGTTCCTGGTGAGAAACTAGGTAAGAGTTCTTATAAGTGGCAGCCTGTAAGGCACAGGGCCAGCACTCCTGTGGGTAGTGGTCATTAAGGGGAAAGACAAGCTCTCCTGCCCCTACATCAGGGCTGGTGGTGCAGGTCAGTGAGTCATGGGACCAGCTTTTCCAAGTGCAGTGGCTGGCTAGAGGTAGGATCCTAGTGTTTGGATTAAAGGCATGTGCCACCATACCTGGCTCTTTTGTCATTCCTTTTTTTTTTTAATCAGTGCCCATAATTAACTGGGCACACATAGACTGGGTCACATATCCGGCATCATCAAATGTCTGTGTGCACCCACAGATATCTCTAGTCGTCTATGAAAAAACAAGCAGGCAATATGAGAAAGTGACCCAAGTGGCACAACCCTGTTTTATCCCTCCCCAGACCTGAGCCTGTCATCTTCATGGACACTTCCCTATGGTACGTTGAGCAGTAGAAGCAAACTCATGTTGGTTAAACATGGTTCTATATGCCATGTCTGCCCCAACTAATAGTGGACAGCAGAGCACTGTGCCCCATTTCTGGGATGTGCCTGAAGACAGCAATGAGGAGAACCCATTCAAGGGACAGAACAGTGTTCATGATATTTGGTTAGGATGAATAAATGTCTTCCATGTAAGAGTCTATATTGATGAGTGTACTGTGTCCCACGGGTTGGTTACATGATCATGAATTTCCATGGAATATAATTGTAAAATTGGAGAGAATAAACGTGAAGATTTCTGTGGGTAACATTCTTAGAAATGGGAAGAATACTAAGACATTTCCATCTCTCCTGAATCTGCATCAGAGTTGTCCTCAACAGTAAAGGACACAGGAGTTAAGTAGATGGGATGACATTATCTGCAGATACTTCTCAGCTCCTTCTCTGATCATACGTTGTTCTGCTTGTCATGGTCATCTTCACTGTCAACTCTTTTGACTATAGAATCACCATGGAACATCTATCTTGGATGTTGTGAGTGTGTTTCTAGAAAGGTTTACCTGATGAGGGGTGCTCCTCCTTCACTGTGGTTGTCACTTTTCAAGGGGCCAGGGTCCCAGAACATATAGAAGGAGAATGGTTTAAGCAAGGACATACATTGGTCTGCTTCCTGGAAATACAATTTGACCTCAAATCTGCTCCTACTACCATGACTTCTCTGTTATTACTATATCCTTAGATATTCAGAATAAATAAACAGCTTCTCGAGTGGCTTTATCATTGCAACAAGGACCATAACTAATAACTTTCCCAGTGAACTGATGAACACCAGTCTCGGGTGTGAGAGTTGGAGGCTCTACATGAACTCAGCAGCATGACCACCAATTGACTTAAAATCCATCCTTGCTTCACCCTCCTTTTCTTCTGTTCTTATGTTGAGTTGCTTGTTAAACATTTATCACTCCATACCAATATCTTATTTCTTGCATGTAGAGACACCAGTATGCTACCAACAGTGCTACAGTTCAGATTCCCCACCTAGAAATCAAGATTAACACTAAATTTCATATGCATGTTTTAGCTGTGAAATGAGTTGCTTTAAGCTATCATTTGGAAGACTAAGAAGCATTCTTAGATATTGTCCTTGCCACGATCATCACCATCATCCTTCTTTAGAGTTTGTTGTTACTGCTGTTGCCTTCGTCATTTAACCTGCATCTTCTTAGCTTGCCAGATCTGCGTGTCATTCTCTCGGTTTATACAAAATTATAGCCATCAGAGCTTACTTAAGCTTTTCTATCCTCAGAATTTTCATACCTTAGAGCATTTTCTTAGACCTTTAGAATTTGTATGGACTTTTAAACCTTTCTCTTTCCATCTAATAACTTATCAGAGACATGAGTAGCTATTATTGAGAATAGTCTTTGCAAGGCATGTTCCTTTAGTGAAAAGTTACACCTGAAACATATTCATTCTTTAATATGAAACCTGTTAACAAGGCAACCCTGTCTGATTTTTCTTAAGAGACTTAGTAACTCTAGGAGAATGAATAAGGGGGCTACAGCCTTGGGGGAAGGTGCTGGTTGCCTCTTGCTGCCTAGCTGACAGTGCATCAGAAGATCAGGTCCCACCTCCCCATCTCTGAGCTGCTCTTATTCCCCAATGTCTAGAAAAGGTAACCAGTCCTCAACCCATGAGTTTGTTTCATCCTGCTCTTTTCCCAGAGGTCTCCCTGCACTGCTCTTGTTGACAGCATTCATGGATCATTTTAGCATCCCTACTGGGAACAGAAATGGCCCCTTCCCAGCTCCCCTTGGTAGTCTCAGAGAGGAGGCAGAGTCATAAAAACTCTGCATCTGTTCCCAATGGGTAAAGGTGAAGATGTCTGAGCTTGTCTTTCTTAAGCAGGGTTTTATAGACATCATTTTCAGCAGCTGGTACTGGCACACTTGCAGAGGATATGACAAACCCAACCCTCAACATCTACAGCACCTTTGAATTTCTCTGGAGATTGAGCTGCCTAGAATCCTGACACTCTGGACTCAGGTGCTTCAGGGGGCTTCCCCTTTATTCTCTTTCCTGTTAGAGAAAGAAACAGCTAGTTAGTGACACAGTCCTTGGATTGTCAACTGGTAAGATGGTCACTGGCATTTGACTCGTGGGTGTTGTTCAGGCATCTGTGGGTTTAGTGATAATAATTGGTCAAGCCATCCATCTCCAGTTCCTCTGTGCACACATCTCAAACTCCCCAGACCTCTTTCCTTGTTGCCTGTATTTCTTTTTTCCTTTATCAACCTTGTGCTCTTATTTTTTCTTCCATCCTTTCTTTATTAATTTATATGTACAGAGTGTTTGTCTGTTTAAGACATGTTGAGTAACAGACTGTGGAGTTCTGGGCTCAAAGATCTCATGTGAAGCAGAAAGCCATAACCCTGGGAGTGCAGTGATGGTCAGAGTCCTTAAAATAAACACCACAACATAGAAAGACAGTTTGATATTTTGTGGGTAGAGCAACCATGACTGTTTTGGGGTGGATAGAAGTTATGAGTTTGCTGTAGCGTAGACTGGCCTTAAATTCTCTATATGTTCGAGTATATCCTTGGACTTCTCAACCTAAACCTTACAGACGCTGGCTTTGTAGGCTGGAGCTACCATGTGTCACCATTTTCTGCTTGGAAATCAACCATGGGGTTTTCATCTGTGAATATTGGACTCAGAGACTTGACCAGCAGTCCTGGAGCGACACTGGAAGCCAAGTCAAAGACCACTGGGCTTTTTTTTTTATGACGTCATGAATATATTTAATATATTTTTTTCTTTTTTTTTCTCTTTTCTACGTGCTAATAATTTTTTTTGGTACCAACTGCACAAGACAATTTCGAATGGTGCACATTTTTTGACGACACTCTGGCCGGACCTTCTCAAAGCGCTCAGGGACTAGTTATAATTTTCTTAGGCCAAAGGTTAATTTGGGAATTTTACCATCATTTGCTTTCACAGGAGCCCCTAAGGAGAACATCGCCCCCATGTCAGCTTGAAGCAATCTTAGAGGACGGCGTCCCCTCCCCCAACAGAGTTTGCCCTCAGGGTTAGGGACATCTTTTAGTGGTTGGTTTGGGGTTGAGGGGATGGGGAGATGTTTTATGGAGTTAGGGGTAT